GTTGCTGAAGGGCAGGACCCTGGATTTTTTATTGGTAGAATAATCATACAGCATTAATTGGAGGGGAACTAGAAAAGGAGAAGGGAAGTAGAAAAAGGAAAAGGGGGTGAAACTATCATCTATTGTATTAGGGATTATGAGTCTGCTTTTCAGGCACATCTCATCTGCTTGATGACTCAGTATTGGAACTGAGATCTAGCCCTAGTTCTCCAGTCAGGGTTTCAAACTTATGGATCAACAAGGCGTCCACCGATCAGCTTCTGGGGTCCCTTGTCATACGTCGGTCCTCATCCCTCCAGGCTTTCCCAGCCATGTTGGGGGGAGGCATACCCTTCCCAGGGTGATCAAGCTTTCTGTTCTTGATTGATCTGAAAGGCACCTTGTAAGGTTTGGCTCCTATGACTGATTGAACTGGTTTCTGAAGGGCAGTTCTGACATTGTATAGGAATGCAGGTGACAAAATGATGGCCGAACATACTTTTCCCGAAAAAGGGAAAGTATGTTCCCTTTTTATTTTCTTGCCTAATCTTTTGTGTGTTTTCTACAGATTTTCCTTTTTATATAGGAAATGTGTGTGTGTGTGTGTGTGCACATGTGTATATCTCTTAGAATATTAAAAGATGTAAAGTCTATATACTTTCCAAATAATTACTGAAGCATCACTAAGAGTGGGGTATTTTACTCTATAAATGGCAGTCAGGAAAAAATTCAATGTGAAACCACATCTCACTTGGGAAAGGAATTTCCTTTGATATTGTAATTGCTCTCCTGTGGAACTAATTTAAAAATACTCAAATGGTGTCTGATGCTTTACTATTAGTGATCTTCCTTGAAATATTTTATTTATAATAGAAACAAAGCAGTGGACAATTTGCATGGCTAAGAACAGAGATTATAGAATAAATGGAAGTATGTCCATAAAAGAGAATCTTTGGCAAGCATTGAAAGTGATAGTGAATGTAAAACCATGTTTAAAAGAATTTTTGTATCAATGCATAGAAAAATAAGTTTAAAACTGTATATACCTTGTATAGAATCACATATATACAAAGACAAAGACTGGAGGAAAATACCACTGTCCTTCGTGGTATTTTGAGTGGTCAGAATAGGTGATTTCCACTTCCCTATTTAAATCTTCTATATTTTTTAACTTTTCTCTAGCGAATATCATTTTTTAAAAAAGATGTATTTTATTAATTTATGCATACAAGGCCAGAGGTGAGGGGGTGTGTGTGAGAAGATTCACCAGAGACAGAGTGGGGAGCAGAACAGGTGGATCTACTGAAATATACTGCTGAGGGGAGCAGTAGGGAGACAGGAGAAGTCTGCCGTGCCATGTGGGTCACTCCCTGGCTGGGATTGAACTTGCACCTCAGTAGTTGGCCATAGCTTGACAACACTGAGGCTTGTCCCTGCATCACCAGGGAGGTCCATGAGTAAGTATCTTTTCATTGTCACCATGTTTTGTTTTTTTTTTTAAAGAAGTCACCAGCATTTTAAAAGTTCATTCTAAGCCTAAAATAGGTTATTAACACATAAGTAAAAATGTTGATTATAGACATTTCATTCTAAATACAACATATAATTAAACACAATCCTAAATAATATCTGGACAATATTAGCACCTGAAGACCTTGCCAGCAGATGCATAGGTATTTGCATGCTTTTGCAGGGAAGAGTTTAAAAACGTAGAGCAACTTATAGGATGCAATTAAGACACTCATGCCTTTGTTTTCCAACTAGCAAAAGCAAATGAAATGCTACAACATTGCTGGTCACTCTCACAAAGTAATCTGTGCATTTCATAGCTGGAACTTTGCACAAGTTCATTCACATAATCAGACCTCTCAAAGGCTGGGAGGACTTCCTGTTCATGCAGGCACGCCCCAGCTTCCAGCTCCTCCCTCTGAATCCAGGCCCAGGCTATTAAGTAGGATACATCACTTGCCCACACAGAACCCTTCTGCCCCTACCATGGCCACCTTCGTGGAGCTCAGCACCAAAGCCAAGATGCCCATAGTGGGCCTGGGCACCTGGCAGGTAAATCTACTATTTGGACACCTGTTCTTCTCTAGGGACTTTGGGGCAATTTCCTCTTCTGCATCACTAGGAGAGGTTGGATGGGTGAGGGCTGAGTCCTGGAGCAAGGTTTCTTTCCTTTCTCAGGTCTGGTCCATGCTGCACGCTTCCAAGAATAGCTTCTTGCATTCTTGGTGAGCACTTTCCTGGCCAGATGCAGGTTGCAAGTATTTGCTTGCAAACGCCTGTTTTTAGGGAAGCACCTCTCCCAGGAGCCTTTCCGCCTTCACTCCCTTGCTCTAGGACACTTGCTGGGGTCTTAGGTTTGGGGATTCCTGGGAAATAGGTTGGGGGGGGGTTGCATTTCAGCTGTTCCAGCCAGTGCAGCCTTCTGCCTGGGAGGGAGCATGTGAGGACCCAGGAAATCTCCATTCAAGGGCGCCTGCTTGGGGCCAGCACTGGAACCAGACAGATCCCAGTGGATGCCCGTGTGCTGTAATCTAAGAACACTGTTTTCAGGGGATGTTCCCAGCCTGCCGGTAGCCAGATGTGCTAACAGCATGTGCTAAAGCCAGTAAGATGCTTCCCAGGCTCAGGGAAGCCTGCAGACTCTATTAAGATGCCTATGACTGTCTTCAGGTGAATTAAAATATTTTAGTGTCATTTTCGATCTTCCGTCTGTCTATTTCCATAATGACAGTACCTTCCTAACTAGTTACCAGTGTTAACTGGAGATAAAATCTCAGAGTCTGTTAGGTAATCACAGTGAGGATAAAATTTGAACCCTAGACTCAGTCCTATAGAATTTATTTGCAAGAATTGTTGCAATAAACACAAGCTAGAATGAATAGGTAGGAACTGTGAGTCTCTGATCTCAAAAATGGAATTATTCTTGACTAAGTGGCTTCTGCTTCTAAGTTATCCTGTTCTAAAGATATGCCAAAGCTAGGGAAGACAATGTGATCTCTGTTTCTAAAGAATGTGCTGGAGAGACAGGCTGGGTACCAAGGTTAAATCTTGGTGTGACTTCAGGATCTTTGGTGAAGGTGCATGCTGGCTTTATCTGAAATCTTCAGATTTTGCATAGTTGTGGCTTCTGGCTTCCAGTCTATGTGGATGAATTTTCCCTCCTGTCTACCTGGATAGGACATGTCATTTTCCCAGGAAGGTTTACACTGTGTTCATTCCAGAAGCTGTCTTTGAATTTGCCCAGATATAAAATGAATCATTCGGTACACTTCTAGGTTCTTTTTGAGCTGGAGGAGTAATCAAAACAGTATCAGATGGATGAACAAAGGGAAAACATACATGTGAATTTAATGACATACATGTGGAAAATTCACCTGGTTGTAAATTCTAAAGAAAAATGAAGTGGACCAGGAATATTTATCTTGCATTTTAGGACCTGGGGTATCAAGGACAGAGAGAGGGTGACTTTATGTAATGGGTAAGAAGGGAGTGACCTCATCCTTACTCCGAGTAAAGATGGGATTCTTAGATAGAGCATATTTATTGGCAAACCTAGAACATGCTCTTAGATAGAGCATGTTTATTGACAAACCACATTTTTCTAGGTCATAAAGGGAGATTAGGAAAAGGGCAGAAGCTTAGGACACATTGATCTCCTCTTTGATTAGGAAAGGTCAGGGCCTTGGGCAAGAGAGAAGCTTCTCCTAGCCTGCAGGGCGCTCCCTGCTCTCAACCCAAAGCAATCCACATTCTTAGGTAAAGGCAATGGACCATCAGAGTCTCGTGGGACCTTAATGAAGTCTTAGTTCTCATATCAAGGTGAATAGAGGGTACTCTGGGCCTGTTGAGAAACACCTATCTGACTTTTGGGAGGGGGGACCTAACTCTATAAGATTTCTCCTGAAGAATCACTATTAAGTGCTTTAATTTTTACTATTTGACTTGTCTAGGTTAGACAGAATGTAGAATTTCTCACGTTTTCCTTCTCTGTTCTTGCCTTCAAAGGGCAAAACAAACTATTCTTCAAGGTTTTCTAGTTCTCCTCTTTCT